TAATCACTGTTCTGTTCCTCACTCTGTGCATCTGCCAGATCCCGATGTAATACGTCGTTTTTGAGCAATTGAGTGAGTACGGGTGGTTCAACTTGCTCGTTTTCACTACACACCCAACAAAAATATAAGCTACTGAATTAATAAATGCTTTCCATATGGCTATATCACTTCACTTACAAGTCGTAATGTGATGAAATTCCATGATGGACGTTTTCAATTAGGTGATGAATACCGGATGGGCCACTTGTAAAATTCATATACGGCCGGTACCCCCTATTAAATATATGAGCGTTAATACAAATTCAATACACCAAAAATATACATAATTAACATAAATGAAAATTGAAGTTTACCACTCGTCTTGTGAATTATGGAAAAGGGGGTATAAATTATTTTCTCGCTGCTCATTCGCCGGCGGTGATAAGTTTAAATCAAGGAAAACTCTTTCATCCGGAACCTGTCTGGCAAAAACTGCTCCAGAATAACTACTCGATGACTGGGGGTTATCTCTACTACGCACAACCTCGTTTTTTGGAACGTCTTCGACCTTCACGTACACCTCAAACATTGTGATTACAAGAAATTCCCGGCATTCATCCGGAGTCCTCATAAAATTACTCAAAGTTTCATCATCGTCGATGTTAAACTCCGGATAAAAAACAACCCCTTGCGGAGTTACGAAATACGAATATCTTCCGGTTACTTTAAGTATCACTGAATGTTTCCTCACACTCATTTTTTTGCATAACAACGATATCAATTTATCGTATTCCATTGTAAGTGACAATTTAACATGACACTGAGCAGGTAAACTGTAGCCCACGGGGTTATTCTCCATCACAGCCTCACCCCCCAATATAATGAAACTCTTATTCTACGCTCTTCAGACATAATGAAAAAATGCTGGAGAATTTAACAACAATAAATGTTTCAACAAGAGTGAAAATTTTTTTTGAATGAATTTCTATACAATCCTAACCTCTTTATATAGGAAATGGCTAGCCGGGATTTTTTTTTATATATAGCGCCCAAAAAATGGGCACTATACGCTTTTGAATTATTGAAGTCAGGAATTATTGGTGGGGCCAGGAAAAAGGTGTATAACGCCCAGATACTGAACGCTATACATAAAGTTTTATGTATAGCGTCTAGTATTTGGGCGCTATACCTGTTAGTGTCAGCTTTCTATGTATAGCGCCCAAATAATGGACGCTATACATTAACGGCACAATTAACGTTAATGTATAGCGCCCAATATTTGGGCGCTATATATAAAAATATTATTTTTTTACACCTATTAAGGTGCTACTTGTCCAAAAGAATCACATTTTGCGGACTCCCCAAAGTAAAAGTTTTGATGCAAATAGAAAAAAGTTAGAAGACTTTCCAAAAGGAAAGTCCAAAAAGGAAAGTCCGGTAGACAACGACTGCTTTGTCCCAATAGTTACTTGAATGCTTCATGAAATGATAGTTAGGCCCACTATTTTACCAAACAATACATACAAACCACGAGAACTTCCTAGCTATCTCTACCACTGCGGCATTTATGACAAAAATAAATGTCGTTATAGTGCCATCTATCTATTTCACACTAAAATGGAAGATTCTTCCTCCTCTTATTACAAAAGTTTATAGAAAGTAGACAATAAAATTTGGAAGTGTAGCTCCTCACATGTCACTTATAAATAAGTTCAAAATATACCTAACATATGGTGGGTCCCACATAAGATTCTTTATCAACCAGGAAAAAAAATATTTTTCCTCATGTAATTTCAAGACATATTGGTTGTTAAATTTCTTGAATATAAAATAAGCATCCACATATAACTAACATGCCAATATTTTTAATTATATTGGTACAAAATTGACTTAAATGGAGTGAGTGGACAATAAAACTACATAACTAATCTCAACTTGTTTAGTGTTTTACTAATACATAATAATAATTGTTGCTCCTATAACAAACATGTAAATGTCTTCGATTAATCTACAATCATCTGGGGCTCGCAGAAGTCAAGAAAGTTACACTAATGAGGTGGTCGGTGAGTCTAATTTTATTGAAATTCTTAATCAATATGTTAGCATTCACTTGTGGAAAAGAATAGTACTCCTCAATTTGTTCAAAGACATCTGCTGAGTTCACGAAGCAATGGTTATTTTTCTTAAGTACTTATATTTGTAAATCTTCAAAATAATACTAAGTCAAAATTTTAATGTGTGTGTATGTATGTACAGTCATACCCCACTATGATAGTATCCCTATATAATAGTTATTACCTATAAAAATCAATTTTTTTTCGGAATCGATTTTTATATCATATTATAATTTATGTCCTCTATAACAACACTTCACTATAACAGCTAAAAAATACTGAAACAAACGAGGTTGTTATATATATATATATAGAAAGGTTTGACTGTACTAATTTTATAGCCACTGCCAACTCCCACAAAGTCGTAGTAGTAGGTATGCTGGTTTTCAGCATTGATTGATTAAAAGTCTTGGATTTGCCTCAATTATAGGAAGGGAGAAGTCACCATGCATGTAACACCCTAAAAACAAATACTAATAAGAAGGAGAGAAGGGGAAATCTCACTCTCTTGTTCAGCAAAGTCAATGCTAAACTCTCTGATTCTTGTGCAGCAGGCTAATGTCTGTCTCATGATCACCATACTTGATTAATATTGCCCAAAATGTGCCTCAAATATTAGGGGACCTAGTAAGCCATTTGCAGCCATCAATACTCCTGCATTACAAAGCCTGAAATATAAGATGCAGTTGGAATTGACAAAACGTAGAAAATAGAAGTTAATGCTACTAGATCTAAAGGTTTCAAAAGTTGAGGCAAAAAAGTTGCTATATGTGCCATTTTGTTCACATTACCAATAAATGCCACATATATATTTTGAGTCATGTTATATATACATTATTATTATTTAACCATAACTAAGTGAAATGTATTCTCACCATAGTTTGTAACTCGTAGGGTCTCGTTTGGTACCTGTAATAAGGATACTAATTCCGGGATAGAATGTGAAATTATATTTGTCGCATGTTTGGTTATGAGTATTAGTTAGTGATTTGATAAATTTTACACCAAAATTAGTGAGATTAGTTATCCATATAGAAAGTGAGATAATTAATCCCATAAAATATCCGTGTCTATCCCACCTGGTAACCAAACGAACCCTTAAGGTTAAGCTGTTTTATTTGAGGTAAACACCGAGATCATGGTAAGTATTCTCCACTCCCCAAAGTGCAACTTCTCCTGGCTATGTTAATCGCAAGATAGACGAATACAGTATGAAAATTTGCTCCATTTCCAAATATAGGAATTTGATGCAGCTACCCGGGTTCGATCCCCGACAACGGCGTTATCTTTTATGGTTATACTTTTCTGGACAGCTAAATGTGTTTGTTTTAGCTGTGGTTTAATTTTAAATATATACTTTGGTGATTAATAAAATTACTTTAGTTACCAAAAAAGATTGATGCAGCCAGAAATTTCAGAAACCGAAAAAAAATAATTTAAGTGCTAATTGGAGTTTTGATTTGCTCCGGAAACCACTGAAAGCTCAACCCATATAGTCCGAGAAGGAACATAAATGGAGCAACAGAACCCAAAAACCAACAAATCCAAAATATCAGATAGACCGTACACCCGGTTCATTTTAAGTTATTTTTTGTGGTCCATAATATTGATTTTTTCAAGAATTAATTCAAGAATTAATTTCTTTTATTCAAAGGAGGGTAGGAGTATTTGTTGTATTTTCAATAAATAAATTAACATTAATGAAAACAACCAAAAAAAATTACTTAGTTTTTTTTCGTTTTAATCAATCAGAAAAGTGGTCCCAGAGACCATTTACCGAGCCTCCTACTTAGCTCAGAGCACAATATAGTCATTCACAATCTGATTCCACAATTGTCAAACTCTAGTCTTTGAATGAAAAGTGAAATCAGGGAAAAGGAATCACTTTTTCACTATAAATATAGTTCATGAATTTTAGCCAAACCCCTTCCAAACATAAAGAACCTTTGACCGTTTGACGCAGTCAAACAACCTTTCTATAAGTAAAAAAAAAAAAGTTTAAACTTTTATATACTCTTAATAAAATAAGCAAGTACTAATAACTACTTATAAATAGTGGGATTGGTAATCTAAAATTAAGATAATGTAACTTGTTATAACATATTAAAGTACACTGATAATATATAAAAAAATTTCCGATTACAGTATGTTAAATCCAGAAAAGAAGAAGAGATTGAAAAAGGCATTGGACTGTTTCAGACGCTTCAGATTAATCGTGATCTGGATTTCACTGATAAAAAACACGTAAAAATGGAGCTTGTTGCATCTAAAACATTTCCATTCACGAAAACTGCCAAAATCTTAGATAAGAATATAATAGAGTTTTGATATGAACCTGGTCTGAGCAAGAAAAGAAAAATGGACGAATAAATAAAACAAGAAGCTGACCTATGTTTATGTATTTGATCAAATGAAAGCACTTCAATCTTCTAACATGTAAAAGGATGGAAATAGACATCATTCAAGATCCCACATTTAGCTTTTCTCATGTAATTCTTGCTTCTGTGAGAAAAGATAACTTTTTTCTTGTTTTCAAGTGTGAATTAATGGTAGAAAACAATAAATCTTTGGTCTGTAGTCAAAAGAAAAAAACAGTAATTAAGAGAAGACTGGATATGACTATTCAGAAGGAGGATGAAGTACATGAGATTGGTATTAAAAGCAAATGAGAAGTGACAGAGCAGAGAAGAAAGGGTAATGCGTGTGTGAGGAATGGGAGGAGTATGTGAATATAAAGACATTTATGGTGAGAAGAGAGATACGTGGTGGGGCTAGCTAAGAGGTCGAGGCTAACGTAGTAGGTAATCATTGCTATTTTTTTTTCTTTCTAGAATTTATATATAAAGTTAAGAGTGAAATTACATATTGATGTACCGGAAAGAGCTAGCATGTTATACGTTTCTTCATTTTGTGCCGACATCATATGTATTAGTTGATTCGGCACCGAATTTAGGAGAAAGGAGAGACATTTTTTAAATTTGTAATCTTAGAGCTCGTTTGGACTTATAAAATTTTTCCTTTTTTTTATTTTTTTTTTGAAAATAATGTTTGGTTATCTCATTTTTATCAATTTTTTATTTTTCACTTGAAAATTCATTTTCAACTTTGAAAAACTGGTTCTCACTACTTTTTCAATTGAAAATGGGAATTTGCTAATTTTTAGTTTTACAAATTTACTCTATATTTTTAAAATTTATAAAATGACTCCATCAGTTTTTCATCTTTGGCAGATACATCTTTGGCGACTGATGGTGGAACATCAGTCATAGTTGATACTTGAACTCTGCCTACTAGAAGTTTGATTATATAGTTATGAGAAATATGTGGCTATGCCTGCTTTTGTACCTTCTCTGTGTGTTAGTAGAATTAGAAACTATGATATTGATTTGCATCTTCTGTGTATTGCAGTAAAGTAGAATATGATAATAGTTAAACAATAACATTTTGATTGTTTATTTCAAGTAGGATAATTAAATTGGGGTGGTTTTGATATTTTTTTATAAGTTCTGGGGTATAAATCATGTTTCATGATTTTTTTTTAAAAGACATCCAAATATGTTGCAAAAATTATAATCAAACACAACTTCATCTTCAATTCAAATTTGAGTGAAATTCCAAAATTTGAAAGAAAAAAAAATTAGAATTCATGTCCAAACGCCTACTTAAAAGCTTAAAAGGTAAAAGCTTTGGGGGCCATGACATTTGTGTGATTATAAAAGTTCTCATTAAAGGTGATAGAATATAAGGGTCCACCAAGCACTACAGAGAACCAGGTTCTCTATCAGATTCAAAAGTACACACGCACACTGCAGTATGTAAATGACAGGAGGAATTTTACGTGAAAAATTCCCAGTTCAATGGGATTAAAAATCACGACCTACCCTTGTAGGATTTCAACTTCACTACTAAGCAACTTTCAGATTACAACCTATGCAACCTAGGAATTAAACTCTTAATCCCACACTAACTTGTAATACTCTATTACAAGCCACTTTATAATAACTATATTACAAAGACTTTGCAACTTGACTAACTCTAGCCAAGACTTAACAGGTTTAAGGTTTACAAGGATTTCCTACAGAATGCTTCTAAACAAGCTAGATAGGAATTACAATTGAAGAACTATTACAAAGTTACAATTCAACCAAGGACATACAATGACTCGATGTGGGAACTGGTCCGTAGTTGCTTTGTTATTTATTCTTGAAGCACTTGAAACTTGCTTGCTGGATGGTCACGTGAGTGAGCTTGAGTAAAATCTCTAAGTGTTCAGGTGAATATTTTTTACCTTCCTTGATTGTATATATACATGTGTGACATCACTTACAATAATGTAAGTAAGGTAGGTAAAAAGTTTTCCCTGGAAAGTTGACTGCATCACTGCTATTGCACTGTAGCGTGTGCAGGCAGCAACTTTCCAGCTTGAGAGTTGACTTCGCACAGTCTCCTTGGGAACTGGTAGGGACCTGTTCCGTCAGCTGTTCCTTCCACTCTAAAGAGTTGAATCATAACGCAAACTAGATCCCAACCTGGAACCTTGTGATCTTAAGGTCTTGTAAATGTATAACAAGTTCCTTATCTGGTTCTGGATAGTAAGTTTGTTAGATCATCAAAACATAAAGCAAAGTACTTATGACCAAAGTACTTGTACCCTATCAATTTCCCCCTTTTTATGATGACAAACGCATAATTGAAAAACCCATAAAGAACCACATAGAACCAAACTGTGAACCAGAAAGACCTTAAATTCCCCCCTAAAACTCTGCATTCCCCCTTAATCAGTACCTGAACCTCTGTGAGTTCCCCCTGAATTTGTATTTCTCCCCCTTTAGATTATTATTCATTTATGCTCTTTATTATTCAATTAATCTTCCCCCTTTTAGCATCATAAAAAGCACAGAACAAGTAAGAAGCATAAAGAAGTCTAGCGTAGTTAACTGCATGTCACTTGTGTACATACAACATGATAGAAAACAAAGACAAAAGAGCAGCAGCATAGACAACTAAAAGGAAAACACTTGCATTAACCAAATTTGAACTTTTACAAGCTGGAGCAGAATCATTGTTATCATCTATTGTTTAAAACAAACAAAAATAATTACCAGAAACAAGAAAAATATTGCCAAAAACAACTAAGAAGATAGAAACTGGAAACTGGACACTGAGGGGACATTCTTTAGGGGACACTTGAGGAAGGGGGCTTGGAAGAGGCAACAAGGGTTTATAGAACAAGATCCGTGGGAGCATTCGCGGACATTTGCTTATTGAGCAGTTTTTCTTTCAGGTCCTCCGCCTGTTTCCTGCGTTCATCATTCTCCTTTGTTAGGCATGCAACTTCTGAGCTATGAGAACTACTAGAACCAGGTGCCTCTTATAACTAACTGAGCTGACTCTCAAGAATTGCAATTCTAGCCTTCAACTTCATGATCTCCTCTATGGCACTGTTCTGAGCATTTATCAGTTGAGAGATAGTGGAAGTGCTTCCAACTCTTCCGACCTTGTCAATGCACTCACACTCCTCAAGAGTATTTTTTGAAAAGGATTGATTTTTAGTGCCCACTTTGGCCTATCCCAGAGGTACTTTGAAGAACTCAAAGACTTTTGTAAGAAGAAAACCATAAGGTAGTCCAGGATTCCCATCCTTAAGGTTTTCTACCTTCTGCATATGCTCAATCATTATGGCAGGAAAATTGATGAAGGTAAAATTATCCTAGGCTTCCATAAAGGAACATGTCAGCTTTGGATGCAACAGATCTTCTCTCAGCATGGGGAAGCAATACTTTGTTAATCATCTAAAAAAGCAACTGATATATTGGAAGGAGTGCATTCTTATGCACCTGTTCCCCATGTTGTATTGCCTTATCCTTGACAATGACATTTCTGAAGTTTGATGTGCAAGCACCCTGAGCAGACGATAGTCTTTCGAAAGGAACACCCAGAATTGATCCCAATAAGGCAGAGTCCATTACTATGTCAACCCCATTTATCAACACACAGATTTGATTACCCTCTACTGTGAAGAGGCTGGTATAGAAACTCCGTACCTCCCTTCATATACTTTGGGAATCTCATTTGTAAACAAATTGGTCCATTGTTGAGAATCACAAATGTTCACTAATTGTGTCATCCCAACAAGTTCTAGAATGTCAGAGGCAAATGTGCGGCCCCACAGTACTTTCTGATTTCTCAACTTCCTTTTCTCAGAACTCAGAGACTCACTAACTTTTTCTTTCTTGATGGAACCAGGTTCCTCATCATCATCCATTTTTCTTTTTACTAACTTGCGAACAGACTTTCCCTTCTCCACTGACCTTTTCTGCATATATTCACCAGATTTTTCCATTTCTTCATCATCAGACTTGTCACCACTTTCTGTCATTGTTTTGTCACCAGAATTTTTCACCAACTTTTCACTGGAAGCAACATTAGCACTCTTGGAAGGACCTTCAGCATTTGTAGAAGTGTGCCTCATAAATTGAGAGTGAGAGTGCTTTTGCTTCGAGAACTTGTGGATTAAGGAACTAGGTTCCTCTTCAGCTTTCTCATCCATATTTACCACAGGGACGACTTTCTCATGCATAACTTTTCCATCCATTACCAGCCTTCTCTTTCTCTTGCTCCTTTTACTTTTCTTGAGAGCAGACTCCAGAGCCTTCTTTTGTTGTAACCGAGTAATGGACCACTTAGGGATTGACTCTAGAGCTGCAACTGGCTTACTTCTAGCCCTGATAAAGCTAGCATATGCCAAATCATATGCGTCTTCTTCACTGTTAGAATTTGTCTCAGGAACCACCATATTTAGAGGCTCAACATAGAAGTGGGGAGAAGGAGCAGGATCAACACTGGCCGCAGGATCAACACTGGCCTGGTGAAATGACCTCTGACCTGGATCCTCCACGGAGGGATCAGGTTCATCACTTGGGACCCCAGTAGTGTCATCTTGAGTCGATTTTTCAAAGAGAATAAGTGCTCCCTAGTCTTCTATGGACGAAGGTTCTTCCCCCAGAAGCTCAGACACTCCTACACCTTCCTCTACAACAACCTTTTTAAAGCAATGGAAAACATATTTTCTATCTACTCTCTTTCTTGTGAATTAATGAAAATTTAAGTAGAAGGAGGTGTGATACCTGTAGAATCATGGCCTGTCATGGTCGTCTCAGTCTTCTCATAGGTAATGACTAGATTTTCACTTGAGTCCCCAACCATAGAGAGAGTTGATATTTCCTGAATAAGGTTCCCTTATTTGCCTTGTTTACCCTGTTCAGTCTGGTTGATCAGTGAGACTTGAGGAAGACACATATTTTCAACCTTGCTTAGATGAGGAACAAAATCGGAGTGGGTAGGAGAGGGAGTGGAGTGTGGAGGAGACTCTGCTTTAGGATTTGGACTAGTGATTGTATTGGGGGAGGAGTTCACCGCTGGAATGTTGACTGGTGTTGACAGTGTTGTCAGGCACACTGGAGGTTACTTGATTTTCAAATATGGTGAGATTATGCTCGAAGGGTTGTGGATTTGAGAAGAGAGAAGACAAAGAGGAGTTTTTGAATTTGGAAGAGAAGGGTTGTGACGTTGATTTATTTATGATGAGGGACCGGTTCTGAAATGGCGACAACCTTTTGCTTAGGGAGTTGTATAGTTCAGAAAAGGGTGTGATGCTTTAGATGAAAAGACACAACTTAAAGAGACTGTCATACTGATGATGATGTGGCATTGTTTTTTCCATTTTAAATTGTGTATGATAGAACAAAAAAGCTACTAACTTG